ACCATTGACAAACAATCTTAGTCACACAGAGTGACACAGATCTGAATAACACAAAAAAATCAGAGATCGGAGAGGAAAGAGAGACAGAGACAGCGACATAGAGATCCGTACCTGGGAGGTCGATCGGTGCGATGAGAGTATGAGGTCGATCGGTCAATCTTGCGATGAGTGAGAGTCGATCTCTTGCGAGGTTGATCGGCCGAGATGAGTGATGAGATGAGAGTGAGAGAGTGAGTATGAGAGACTGATCAGATGAGAGTGAGATGAGAGTGAGAGACTGAAAAACGAGAGAGAGTGTGAGATGAGAGCTGCGTAATGTGTTTTTGAGTTTAGGGTTTTTTCCTTTCTTTGTTTTGTTTGGGTATAGATGAAGTGAAGTGAACGGTCCAGATCTTCTGAAGAAAAAAAAAAAAAAAAAGTTATGCGGGCGGGTTGGTCGGGGGCGGTTCAAACCCGCAACCCGCCGACAATCCGAAAATTAGAAATATTTCAAATCGCATCCTATCCTATTATATTTGCGAAACCGTCCATACGCGTACGGGTAGGGTCGGCTAGGACGGGTTGTGCGAGTCGAATGACCCTATGCCCAGCCCTAATTCCCACCTCCACGTTTCAAATTTCCTTCCCAAACTTTTGGCGACCAAATATCATATTAGTCGCAGAAAAAGTACCTTCGCCGACAAATTTTTTTAGTCGTCAAATCTCAATCAATGGCGACTAAAATATTAGTCGCTAAATGTACTAATTTGGCGACCAATTTTTTTTGGTTGTTGAAAATAACTTTTTGGCGACCAAATTTTTGGTCGCCCAAAAATATGTGACCTTCCGCGACCAAATTTATAGTTGGTCGGCAAAAACATACCACTTTCTGCGACCAACTCATTTTTTGGTCGCCAAAATATAACCTTTTGCGACCAATAATATTTGGTCGCCAAAAATAATGATCATTCGCGACTAATTAATATTTGGTCGCCAAATGTCATTTTTTTGCGACCAAAATTTTTTTGGTCGGTAAAAGTGGTCGGCAATTGTGTAAATTCTTGTAGTGTACCTTTGGCTCTGTGGTAAGTTCTATTTCCACATCAATTCATGACCAAACAATGGTCTGATAGTTACATTAACACATTAGATGTTTAAAAAACCAACTTCTTTTCAAATTTAATTTTTTGGTCGAAGAGCCTTTTTTTTTTTTTTTTTTCCCCATGAGTTCTCCACTTCTATTGTAATTTTACAAAAGGGCGAATAACGCTTAAGGTTCTTGTAGTTTGAGACTTGTGCCACTTTGATTCCTAACCTTTTAATTGTGATACATTTGACTCTAAATTTTGAATCACATTCCAAATAAGGACAATTGAAGACACTGTTGCTCCATTTCAAGGGTAAAGTCTTTAATTTGGTCAAATATAAACCAATTTGACAGAAAATAAATGTTAAAAAATTATTTTTGAATTTTTAAAAATTATTTCTATCTATCAAAGATAAAATTATATAAAATAATAAATCTTTTATTTTTATATATTTTTTATTAAATTAATTTTTAGTATATATATGGATGATGATTATATAATGGGTTGTTGTTTTGCTGACATTTTTGGATGGTCATAATGTAATAGATGGTTGTATTTGTTTTTAATAGATATTTTTTTATGGTTATCATGTAATTGATAGTTATTAGACTTTTAATGTGTAATTGATATGTTTAACATATGAAATATTTTTAGTTTTGGATTTTTTAATTTAATGGATTAGTTTAATAATGACATCAAAATTGTCGCCATATTTGACTTTTGAAAAAATTGAAACTAATTTGACGAAAATAAATTTAAAAAAAAATAAATTTTAAAAAAGTATTTCTACCCTCTCAAAAGATAAAATTATATAAAAATGATGTGTTATTAATTTTTTTCACCAATTTAATTTTTAATTTGTTAGAATTTTTTTTTGAAAAATTGATTCTAAAAATCAATTCAAACAGAATTTTATAATAATAATAAAAAAATTCAGCATTATTCATTGAAAAAATGTCATTACATTTCAAATGACATACAAGTTAACCAACACAAAATAATTTGAATGACGACTTTACCCTTGAAATGGACCATTTACAAAGAAAACATGTTTGATTGTCCTTATTTGGAATAATATTCAAAATTCAAGATCAAATATATCACAATTGAAAAGTCAGGGATTAAAGTTACACAAGTCACAAACTATAAAGACTGTTATTGTAATTCGCCTTTTACAAAATCAACTAATTGTGTAACAATGTGCTCAATGAAGTGGTCGTTTATGCTTCTTTCTTTTTTTCGTTTCTTTTTTTTTTTTTTTTCAAGCCTAATAACTGAACTTAAGTGCTCTTTTATGCAATGATTTTGCAGCTCTTCTATGAGTACAAAATTCGATCACAGAACCACATGTAATCCTTTCATATGGGATGATAAGATACGCATTTTTAATGGATTCCATCTTGTGATTATATCTAATTTTATTTTATGATTAGATTCTAAACATTTAGATTTTTCTATGATTCTAAATAAATTTACGAACTATTAATGGCTGCCCAATATTTATTTTGCTTTAAGTGATAATTGATGCTGCTTAACATTTTTTTTTTTTTTGGTTGCTATATTTTCAAGGGAAGCTGCTATACGTAAGACATGAGCTTGTGATGGTGAGTTCGTGACATATGAAGTGGAGTTGCTGGTACCCTCTTTGCTTAGGCCCTCTATTTCTTTCACGAAGGATGTAGCTACTTAAATAAATAACTCAAGTGTGTAATTTAATTATTTTGGATTAAGTGTGCGTTTTGAAGGACTCCAATCTTTTGTTTTGGATTATCAGTGTTGTCAATAGTTATGGCATTGGCATGGATGGGATAATATGCATCACAGTATGACTATCTCATGCTTGTTTTCTTATTTATTTATTTTTTATAGATACATCGGAATTAAAAGAACCAAACTGGGACTAAGCCCTTTCCCTAGCTAAACCCACCATGTCTGAAACCAGGAGAGCTCTGATTTCTGCAGGTGGGTCATTAACAAGAAGCATATCCTCAGGTGGATCTGCCCCGAGATTGGCCAATGCGTCTACACATAGATTACCTTCTCTGTAGACGTTTGTGTAGTACATTGACATCCATTGAAAATTATTCTTGCATCTTCCACTAAGCCTTTGAGAAGATATTTTTCCTCAGTTCTACAAGCAATTTCACCACTTCCTCTGCATCTGTTTCGATAATCACTTTGTTGAAGCCCTTTTAGAGGATAATGGTAAGGCCTTTGTACATTGCCCATAGCTCTGTCTCAAGGCTGGTACAGTTTTCTAGTCTGCCATAGAAGCCACAAATCCATGCTCCCTTTTCATCTCTAATCAGTCCTCCAAAGCCTCCCGGTTTGGCAATTCTGTAGCATCCATCAATGTTCATCTTGAGGGTACCTGAAGGAGGAAGCATCCACTTGATTAGCGGAAGTGTTGATCTTGGGTTAGTAACAGACATTCTAAAAGCTTGGTTAATTTCTCTGGAAAAAAACTGATAAATTTGACGCTCTCAACAATGCTAAGAGTTTTGTTTTCAAAGATTTTTGAGTTCCTACTTTTCCAAAATTGCCAAAGAACAACTGAAAACACAATGTACCAAGGAGTATTGTTACCAGTACTGTTTTTCTTTTTTAAGTTACTTGGCATTGTTTGGTAACACTTACGTTTTCATTTTTTTGTTTATATTTATAAAAATTTTAAAAACTCAAATAAAAACTTGTTTGATAAAATTTTTGATTTATAAATCAGTGGTCTCAGTTTATAAATTTGGCCAACAAATGAAAACACAAAAAATGTGTTTCCGTTTTGAGTTTTGAGTTTTTTTTTTTTTACCACCCAACACTAGCCACCACCTGCCACCATTTTCTACCACCGTCTTCCGCCACCACCACCCACCCCCCATCACCACCTGCCACCACCATTTACCACCCACCTGCCACCATCCGCCACCACTACCCACCCACCAGCCACCACCCACCTGTCACCCACTCGCCACCACCACCCACCCCTCGCTACCACTACCCACTTGCCATCCACCCGCCACTACCATCCACCGCCCGTCACCACTACCCGCCACCTACTTGCCACCACCACTCACCACCTACATCCACCCCCTGCCACCACCAGCCACCCACCACCCACCCGCCATCTGCCACCCACCGGCCACCACCACCCACCCGGCACCAGCTACCCACCACCCACCATCACCACTTTCCACCACCGTCTTCCGCC